GTCTGTGGCTGGACCGGTCGTTCTGCGAAGTGCGGACCGTCCGTTCTGTCACGCAGACCGTCCGTTCCATGGCTTAGAGCGGACTGTCCGTTCTGCAGTCGTGGACTGTTCGTTCTGTCCCCAGCAGAACGTCCGTTCTGCTTGGCTACTGAGCGCAACATCCGTTCTGGCTTCTGAAGTCGAGACTGAACGTTCTGCCATCCTGGAACATCCGTTCTATCTTTAGAACAGACGGTCCGAGGACAAGATTCCGAATTTTTCATTTTCGAAGTCCGATTATGCAATCGTTGCTTAATCTGATCAACTGTGACTCAAATAACATGATTTATTCTTATGGATGGTCCATAGTGAAAGAATGCCTGTGACTTAATAAAAATATTGGATATGCTTGATTGAGTAGGAGCTTCGAGATTGGGTTTACATAATCGAATGGATGGTCTATTCGGATTATGTAATACATCTGATCAAGGAATAATTATTGATCCTTGATATATACAATCGTTGCACAGAAACCGGTTAGATCTAGGAGCTCTACGAGTAAAGCACTTGTCAAGGCCTCGATCGTACGTGTCATGGGCCATGCCAAAGCTGGGTGTGCCGTATTATCTTGGTGAGGCAAGATGGAGAAATGGTGGTTCTCATAGCTTGAAAGTATATGCTTGATCTAAGTGTGGTTTCGAAAATCCCATATTTATGTAATGCTAAGTGTGTACCTCCCATTACTAGAGCGCCTGTCAAGGCATTGATCATCCGTAACACGGGTCATGCCAAAGCTGAGCGTGCCGGATTTTCTTTGTGAGGCAGGGTAGGAAATCGTGGTTCCTACAGCTTGAATATGGTTTATCTTGGGTTAAGTTGTCAAGTTTGACTTGAGACTTAATGGTACAGATGAGACGAGTATGCAATGATATTTGATATCATAGTCTCATAAAGGATCTAAGAGTCATATTGGATATGATTGACATTAGATGTCTACCTAAATAGCATAAGGATAGGTGTAACAATTTGTTCTTGTGTGAAATACGGATCTTAGTCCCATATGGAAAATTATTGTAGGGTTAGTTTTCTTTATGGGAATATAGTTCATCTTTGCATCTGTGTTGTCATTGTTTGATGATGGACTAGCTGGTAGTGGATCATAGATAGATTGACACTGATTGATGATGGACTAGCTGGTAGTAGATCATTGATAGAATCTGCATGTAGATGTGTTTTCGTTCTGTTTTGTTTTTTTCTGTAGGACATAGCGTTAACCGGTATTGTACCGAAGTTGACGATGCGATCTATCCTTATGAAGGATAAGACTCTAACCATGGCTTCTAGATCGATCATTGATGCTTATTGGAAGCATGTGGATGATGATCCGGACAAGTCTAGCTTGACGTTTGGAAACATGACCTCGGCATTGCGTAAGTGATTAGAGGACATGGACGATTCTTTGATTGTTGATCAGTAGAATGCATCATTCCAAAAAGAGAGCTGAAAGCCATGGTGAGAGTGAAATGGTAGTTGTTGGAAAGAGTTCCAGCAAAAGGAAGCGTTCCAAGAGCAAGGGCAAGTGGAAAGTGACAAGCGTTGTCATTGAACCTAAGCCTAAGTCCAAAAAGGAAGAGTGTTATTTCTGTCATGCCGTTGGGCATTGGAACAGAAATTGTAGACTCTACCTGGAAGATCAGGATAAGAAGAAGCTTAAAGAAGCTTCGACTTCTGGTGTCTTCGTTATAGAGGCTAATTTGTTTACTTCTACGTCGTGGGTATAAGATACCGGAAGCGCCTCGCATATTTGTGGAAATGTGCAAGGGTTGCGAAGAAGTAGACAATTGGCAAAAGGAGAAGCAGATCTCCGCGTTGGGAATGGAGGAAAAGTTGTTGCATTAGCCGTCGGGACTTATGATCTGACTTTACCTTCTGGACTTGTATTAGAGATGCATGATTGTTATTTTGTTCCTGCTATAAGTAAGAACATTATATCGATTTCATGCTCCGCGTTGGGGATGGTTTTAGATTTGTTATTGAGTACAAATGTCTGTCCATTTATAAAGGTGACTTATTTTATGGTAAAGGTTACCATATTAATGGCCTTTATGTTTTGGATGACGAACCGTTTAGATACAGGTCAATCTATAACGTTTGTGCCAAACGGTTTAAGCCGAACGACTTAAACCTGACCTTCCTCTGGCATTGTCGTCTAGGCCATATAAACGAGAAGCGCATACAGAAGCTTCATTCTGAAGGTCTTCTGGATTCATTTGACTTTGAGTCTCTTGTATCTTGCGATTCTTGTTTGATGGGCAAGATGACAAAGCATCCTTTCAAAGGGAAATGACAGAGAGCGACAAAGTTATTGGATCTGATACATAGTGATGTATGTAGACCAATGAGCTGTCCAGCTAGAGGAGGTTATCTGTATTTCGTTACGTTCACTGATGATTTCAGTCGATACGGTTATGTCTATTTAATGAGACATAAGTCTGAAACACTTGAAATGTTCAAGGCTTTCAGAAACGAAGTACAGAACCAG